AACTTAAGTATTAAATTTGCATCACATTAAAGAAAAATCATAGAATTATCATGGATAAAATATATAATTATACATGGACTATAATAACTAAATCAATGAAAGAATGGCCATTAAAATCTCGTTTTGACGAAAAACCCTAATCCGTTAAAAAACCCAAATTATTACAGCCTAAGTAACTATAATCTAAAATTATTACAGCCTAACTAATTATAATATTATATACTGAAATTATAATTATTAGTTTATATTTTATAATTATTTTATTAGACAAATAATAACAAATTAAAAATATTTTATAATATTATCTAATTTAAAATGTATTATTGACAACGGTAAGAAAAATAATACATTACATGATTTATAATGTAAAATTTAATAAATAAAATAAAATATTTGGTTATCAATGTAAAAATTAATAGAATGCGTACAAATTTTGGAAATAACACTTCAATTTTTCAAAAATTTATTTTTTTAGGTTTCTATAATAAATTTAGTGAAAGAGATTGATAGTAGAAAGATGGAGATTTCAAATAGAATAAACTTTTTATTTTTTAATTTTTTATGCCTTTCATATTATTTACAAAAATAATTATACCACTATATACAACAAAAATTAACTGCTATACAAAAAATTAACTTTTTTATTTTTCATTTTTTTATGCTTTTTATATTATTTGCAAACATATTTATACCACTATATACAAAAAAAACTACTATACAACTAAAGTGCAACATCAAGTAACAAAGGTCATAACCATCCCGCTGTCTCGCCACATGTGATTATAAATTGTTGATTAATAGAATATATTTACATTCCGTTTTTATTTAATGATGTTTGGGAATTATCCCATATCGAGAGATGGGTATTCAACTTTGGTATATAAATATCTATGTAATATGAATTAAGGTATTCGCGTGGAAACATTGGGGCAACCTCACACGTGATTTTGTCGCACGTGTCTGCTTGTTGCACGTGTCGGAGTGGTGACGGCGGTTCCCGTTTTATGTGTGGAACCGGCTCGTTCTGTGGCGATTCCCGTATTCGACTCGGCATTTGTGAAAACCCTGGCTGAGATGGATCCGATTACAATGTCATGTCTCTGCTTTGTTTTATTTTTAATTGGTTTTTACAAAACATTTTGACACCAAATTTTAGACGTCCACTTCCCTCTTAAACTCATACCTGCAAAAAATTATAAAAAACATATTCTCGATAAAATAAAATGAGCAAAATATTATTTTAATTTATTAAAAATATTTTTTTGTATTTTTTAAGTGTGCCCCATTAAGATATGCCACATACCAACTTTCACATTCATATAATTTATAGAATAAAAACAAAAAATAAAATACTTTGAGACATCAAATCTAGATCAAACGATCAATAGCTTATTTGATCTAAATTGGGTAGCTGGATAAAGGAAATAAAAAACTTCTATTACCTTTTCCAATTGTTAAATACGTCATCTCTTTTACTGATACCTTGGCAATTTTTAGTTATTGTATTTTAATATCACATGACTGTAAACCCCAAGCAACCTCTTTCCTCCTCCCAAACACCTCCTCTTCTTCCTTCTCTCTTATCTGCTTTGAAATGAATGTTGACGTCTTAGCTGTTTAAATAAATGCCAAATACTAGATGTCTAAGATTTATTTTTTGCTGCTACAATACTCGGCCGTATTCAGATCGGGCATGGGCCGAGTACTTGGCACGCGTCTTGGTTCCGAAAACTAAATCAAACTGAGCAAATCAGAATCAGACCTTAGTATTTCATGGCCCAGTACGATTTTCCAATCACCTTCTCTCCTCAAGGGAGAGATTGTGACCCAAAGAAAATTGGGTCTATTTGAAGAGTATGGTGTGAAAGAACTCTTCTAGACTTCTGCCCTTTTGTCTTTCTGAACTTTACTATGCACTTGTCTCTTCATGTGATTTTCTCTCCCCCAAAGTGTATATACGGCTAAAAGCGTATTTAATCATGGCAGGCTAACCACGTCGATCTCTACGTCAACGGCCATGACCATTGTCTCGAGCACATCAGCGGCATTACGAGGTAAATTTACATATGGACACACAAAAGAAAAAAAAGAATACAAAATAGGGTAATGTTGGGCAAAAATTATTTGGAAGGTTGATCGATATGTGTTTTTTTTTTTTGTCAAAATTGCCCTTTGGTCTACCGGTCGACCCACCTTTGTATAATTTTCACCTAAAATTGACCTATTTTATATTTTCTTTTTTTTGTACATGAACATAAATTAGTTTAAAAATAAACATAAACACCCAATAAATACCTGCATTTTTTAAAAATGACGGGGTCATCACATGCTCTTCCAAAATTCCCGTATCTTGTTTGGTGCCTTGGAATTCCTAGACTTCCCAAGCCACCCCAATAATTTAGGAACTTTCTATTGGAACCTAAATCTCCAACTACAAACTACATGGCCTTAGCAGTGACAATGAGCCAAGCCTGGGCAGGGCCAACCATGGCCTTGCCCTGCCTTGATCCTTCAATGGCCAAGCCAAATAATGAAAAAATATACATGTATATAAAAATATACATGTATATAAAAATATACATGCATATAAAAGACGAAGACATGAGGGCCTGGACAGGCTGAACCGGACCGGCCGTTTCTTGGCCCTAGCCGAGTCTTGATCAGACTAGCCCTTGAGCCATGGTTGCCCGGCCCTCGGACCATATTTTGTAGCACAAGCCCCAGTTTTAGGACACCCGTCCATGGCCATCCCTTAATGCCTTCAATCTGGTTAATTTTCAAAGTCAAACTAAATTAGGTTAAAAAACCAAGCTTGGATCTAATCTCTCAATTTTAAACCCAATCTTGTTTTGCATTATATTATTTTATTTTATTTTTTTTTAATCTTTTTTTTTTTCATTTTTCTTTTGCCCCCCCTTTTCAGCCCTATCCAATTCCTGACTAGTGGAGGGGGTTCAAAGGCTTGGAGAGGTATTGATGATAGTGCAAACAAGGACGGTCTCCGATTTTACTACGATGGGCAAGGGTTCATGTCCCTCAGCCTCACACCAGACAGGTGTGAATTCGTCTTTTATGACCTCAATGGCCAAGTCCTCCACAAATGGGAAATTTCGAAAGAGCTCCACTTTGCCAACTAAACCACCTCCTCTTCCTTGGCCCTGATCTTCTCCCTCCTTTTTAACGCTTCTGTAAAATATATTGGTGTAGGTAAATGGTTAGTTAGCTGATGTTGTTTTACGAAATTCAAGTGGGGAAAAAAGAAAAAACACAATTTACCCTTCTATAATAGGGAATGATTGCCCTTGTAACATATATTTGCAGTTAATTGAACTAAAGTCCTTGATTTTCTCTTGGAATTGACGTACCTCTTTCTCTCGAACAAGCATACTGTACACTTGTTCTTTTGGGTAAAAGGTGAGCCTTTTTTTTTTTTGGGGTCTAAAATTTTGGGATGCATTTGAGATTTATAAGATGATTAGTTTCAAAAATATCATCATCAAATCTTGTTTTCAACTAATTGGGTTGGTTACACGAATCCTTGTTCATCATTCTACTCTCTTAAAAGATATCCCCTGTCTTTTTTGACCTTTCTACTTGAATTCACTTAAACCGCTAACTTAAACCTCCTAAGAGGTATTGCGTTGTACATGGTTAGGCCACCTAAATCTGTTTTTTATCATCTCATCCTCAATAGGTGCCATACCTAAATTATTTTTAAAAAAAAAAACAAGAAGATTTCTTTAGCAGTTGGATATTTCCATAGTTGGCACTCATTCTAGAACATTAATTTCATAAGGCTTAACGTTTTTTTTTTTTTTGTCCTTTTCAAATTAATCGCGTGTTGAAGAGGAAACATCCCTAATCTTAGGGTCTTTAATATTTTAGATTTCCTAGAGGGGGTAGATTATGTCCCCACCAAAAACATAACATCTTTTGAGCTCCCAAAAAAGAGAGAATAAAAGGTTAAATCTAAATGAACAAGTTCAGTAGTTTCCTATAGGATCATTACTCTTAACTTTAATAGTTTCTATCTCCGCGTACAATCCAAACTGGAAATATAGAAAGGGCAACAAGAATCAGCAACCATTATCATATGTATATTACAGCTTAGTGGCATTGAGAAAAAATAACATTCAAAAAAATAGAAATAATAAGTGATCAAAAAATCGTGCATCCGACTCGAAATCAGTAGAATCAAATCAGAACGGGGAGGCTCGCAATCTCAAGGTATAAAATAGTGAAATCTCCCGAGTCTCTCAGTTTTTCATCTTTTTAAATATTGTTAACTGTCTCTTTGTCTACACAGACCACACAATAACTATTTTTTTACAAACTAAAATAAAAAACAAAAAAGAACACTACCTGATGAAGTGAGTGATGTCTGACACATTAAAACACAAAAAGGGTATCACTTTTTCTCTCCAACTTATTTTCATAAAAATTATTTTGCCGACATGATAACAGTAACTGAAAAGCCTCACTTATAAAATATAGAAAAAGACCAAAAGGTCGATAATATCATATCTTTCTCCTCCTAATGTTAGGGTAACATAGATCAAGGCAATCGTGATAATTAGCACTGACGTATTAATTATTGACAGGGTGTTGCCTTTTTGCTTTTTTTTATTTTTTTTATTTTTATTTTTATTTTTTTTTATGGATAGGGTGGTTCCTTTTGTCACTTTTACCTCCTTTCTCTTATTATTATTATTATTATTATTGTTGTTATTATTTATAGACAGGGTATTTCTTTTCGCTACTTTTTTTTTTTTCTATTGTTTTTATAAACAATTGTTTCATGCAAGCTAGACCGCATTTCTACAGTATGTGGTCTAGATGTATAAAGCATCCATCTTAAGGATATATACAAATAGGTGGTCCATCTAAAAATAATTGTAACTAATTGTCCAAATGTTTTTTTAATATAACTATTATTTCTAATTTTTTTTTTTTAATCATATTTATTCATGATCTCCATGTTAAAGATTATATAAACTCCAAAAATTACGATCAAATTATATTTTAAAAATATATTTATTGTAAAGCCCGTATTTCTACAATATGTAAGCGGGCCGCATGCTAACGACATCTTTTTTTTATAGGCAAGCTTTCTATGCTTCCCCTACATTATAGAAGTATCCAACCGTCCATTCTGAATGGAGGGCCAAGATTGCTCCAATCACAATGTCACGTCTTTACACTATTTTATTTTTAATTTTTTTTCTATAAACTATTTTGATACCACATTTTGCACATCCATTCCTCTATTAAACTTGCACTAGCGAAAAGTATAAAAAAAATATTTTCAATAAAATAAAATGATCAAAATACCCCTATAAATTTCAAGAGGTATTTTGGTCCTTATATTTTATCAAAAAATTGTTTTTAACATTTTTTATAGGTGCGCTCCAATGAGAATAATGCACGTACCAAATTTCATAGTCATATAATTTGTATAAAAATAAAATACTTTGATACATCGGATCTAAGATCAAATGATGAGTGGCTCTCTTGATCAAAATTGGACGGCTGGATGGTAGGGGGAGGATAAAACTTCTATGCTGTAGAAAAAACACAGAAACCTTTCCCTTTTTCTTATTACTATTTTTGTTCTTTTATGTTTTTCTTCTATTATTTGTGCGTTCAAGGCTTCAATAATGGAGGAGTGAGAAGGAACATAACCAGCAGCTTTACAATTTCCCCACAAGTGCGCAGTTAGAAGCTACCCATTTTTATTATTGTTTATATTACAACAACTTTACAATTTCCCGACAAGTGCGCCAGTTGGAAGCCACCCATTTTTATTATTGTTTATATTACAAAATTAGTTGGTGTCAATCCCATTATCTGCTTTAGAATCTTAGAAGAGAAACAATTAAAATGAAGGAAAATTAATCAAGATTCATAATAATGTAGGAGAAGATATTGAATTAGCTTGTTTAGTACATCAGTGGGGCGCTTGCATTACTCCTTTTTTTTTTCTGCAAATTTTTGGAAATTATTGTTCTCTACTCTGTACTCCCATGGGAGCAATACTTTGCACCTACTTTTTCACTCGAAAGACTTCCTTAAGATTTTTATTTTAGTCTAAAATTTTGAGAACCACTTAAGAATATCACTAGATGGTTATTTTCGAAGAACAAAACTTGAATTTTTAGTTTTGTGACACTTTGATCTTGCCCTTCAAAAATTAGACGGTTACTATTATGTCTTGAGAGATTTTTTTTTTTTTCAGAGTTCAATTCTGAATGTTTTTGATATAGTCTATGGTTTAAGAGGCTACCTCCCCAAGATTTCAAGTTCTAAAATTACTTCCACATTGGGTTTTACACCAAGGAGTAAAGCACGGAATACTCCCATGGTTATAAATCTTTTCACAATAATAAAAGGAAAACGTTTATATAAGGGTGAGGCTCTAAACAATCAAATTATGACGCGCATCAAAATTCACTAAAAGAGGTTTTTTGAAGGACAAATTTCTCAAATTGATAATCTCGACCTCAATATGTATGATCATGAGAAAAAATAGATTTCAAGTCTTGGAAATAATGTATCTTGTAATGCATTTCCTATACTGTCAAATTTCAAGATTTTCAAGTATTCATACACTATTTTTTAATATTTAAATTTTATAATTAGAGATGAAAATAAATTTCCAGACCATCACAAAGTTTTTCAGTGCTGAAACAACATCTTTCGACACTTTTTGAAAGTGCGCCGTACTTTGATTGTTTAGGGCCTTAAGGCTTATTCAAACCACACCCATAATAAAACCGGCCGGTTGGGAACAAAACAAGCAGCTTTTAAAACACTAAAGAACAAGACAAGCTCAGCAAAGGTGCACCAGTCAGAAACTTAGAAGCCATATATTCTATTAATCTTTGAATTAAAATATTTCATTTGGGCTCATTCATTTCTCTATTGTCTCTTTAAATTCTTCAGCATAAATTTGTCAAAACACCTATTAGAATTGAAGTATTTAAAATGTTAAACCCAATGTTTTTCTATGTTTTGAATTAAATCAAAAGATGCGAGTGAAATGTCAACTTATTAATATGTCATAGATAATATGATAACTTTCACATTCTTTGAAAATGTACTATATACAATTAAATGGTTTAAAATGTCTGAAATCGCTCATGATACTGCTTGTTGCCTGGTGGGCACTGTTTTCTTCAACGTTTTTCTAGATTTTTGTTTTCTCGCTGTATGCTGTTGTTTTTCGGATGTCAAAAAAAAAAAAAATTTATGTATTCTTAGAAATGTTGTTCTTCGCATTGTTCGACTACCCGGATAAGGCAATTCGGACTTGCCACCCTGGTGAGCATGAGCATCCTGAGTTTGGTGTTCAAGCTCATGATCTTAAAAGAGTTCCAAAAAAAATTATTTTTTTTTTGAAAACAATAAATTTATTTGTATTTTTTGTTCTTATGTTCTCTGTCAATTTGGGAAAGATTGGGAAGTGTTTTGGCCATGAATACTTATTTTTACATTTCCTTTCTTTTTGGATTCTAAAATATCCTTACAAATTGATTTTTTCAAAATTCATTTTTTCACTACCTTTTTTTACAGCATTTAGATGTGTTCTATTTAATTTTACTTCAAACATATTTTTTATTTTTAGTATTTTTAACACATTTTTGGCCTGGCCAGGACCTGCCTAACTCAAGTTAAGTTGCTCGGACTCGGCCCGGTCTAGGACCCGGTTCCGGGACCGAGACGTTCTTTCCTACGCTTGGTTCTTCCATCTCAAATCTCTCTTTTTTCGAACTTAAAAAATGAGTAGTGGTAGCACCATACGAACCCCAACTAAAAATCTAGATTTTTATTCTGACCTAACACCTTCGAAAATCCTTAACTCTATAAAAAAACAGTTAGGGGGCTGTATACCCCACAAAAATGGTGGAAATGGGTGATATAGAGGTTAAGAAAAAGTGCACCGAACCGTCACTGATATATTGGTGGATGCTTTCAAGAGAGTCGTAATGAAGTAATGAAGTGTAGAAGTATGGTTTCAGTACATGGGCATAATTGTTAATCGGTAAACCAATGGCCAGCTAGAAAGAATAGTATATAAGTAGAATGGGAGCCGATAAATTTTCATCATGCGGTTTAAAATGCACATCACTATTTTAATTTTTAATTTTTTTTATATAAATATGATTAATATAAAATTTTGGGTGTATATACCTAATACTATTACACACCATATAAAAATATAAAAAAAATATTTTTTAATAATTTAAAATGACCAAAATACCCCATAATTTGTCAGGGGTATTTCAGTCATTTTATATTTTAGAAAATATTTTTTATTTGTGCGCTCTATTTTTTAGTACACATGTCTAAAGTTTCATTATGATTCAATTTATAGAAAAATATTTAAAATTAAAAAAGTGATATACATTCTGAACTGTATTATGAATGTATGACGACTTCCATTCCACTTATATTACTATTTATTATAGCTTGTTAGTTATTGTTAGCTTTTTTACATTATTAATTATATTAGTGCTTTTTTGTGTGATACAATTAGCATTATGTATGATAAAAAATGCTTGTAATATTTGTGTGTCAAAAAAAGTTGCGCAATGTTGGATGGTGATATATAATCACCTTCGCAAGGAGAACATATTTGAGTGGGAGAAAATGTTAGGGAGAGAGAGATTAAGGGTATTGCCTTGTATTGGACCAGATTTATCGGTATTTTCTTGAAATGATGGAGCCAATTGAAGGTATCGAGGAAAAGAGTCTATTAATGATTTTGTAATAGGAAAGAAAATTAGAATTTTTTTTTTTTTTCCATTGTGAAGTAATCTCTGTAAAACCTTCAAAACTTGTAAATTTTTCCGTGATAGTAAATTCCTCTTTGCCCATTACCTGCAGATATAGCCCATTTCAAGTTAAAAAAGTAAATTCGTGTGTGCATTTGGTTTGTGACTCTGTTGTGGTTGTTTGATTCCCATTTTGTTTGTTTTTTGTTTATAAATTCAAAGGTTCGTACAATTTTCTCATTCCTAACTGCCTTAGAAAACCCTGGCGCTCTCTTTGTGCAATTTTGAAGGAACAGAGCATACAACAGATTCTTCCTTCTGTAGGTTTTTTATTCATTCTAATGACAAACCCATCTGGAGCATCACTTGATGCTTCAGAGGACTTTGATTTTACAGAGTTCAAAGAGAGGAAGAAGAAAAAATTAAGCGAATATCATTCGACCTTCTCGTTCCCTCCTCTTAAATCCGAACTCCTGTTCAATTGTAGCTATCCTAGTGTAACTTCACTCTTCTCAATCATTCTCTCGCTATGCGTAACTTCTCTCTTTCATAGTAGTCTCTGTAGCAATTGAGATAACTACTCCAGAATCGGAATCAGAACCTGTTAACTTCTCCTCCTTAGTCGAGCTTCATGCTCCTAGTAAAGGGCAATGGATGGTTCACGGGAAATATTTTCTGAGTTTTGGGGTTTTCGATTTTTGATGGTACATGTTCATCAGCTCTCATGGGTCAGTGTGGACCTCTTTGAGCATGATGATTACGGCTAGATTTTCCGGTTTTCTCAAATTGGACGACGCCTAGACATAAATCTGCTATCTAGCTATAGAGTTGTACATATCAGGTGCTCAGGCTTCGAAGGGGTCGGTCCCTAGTGGATTTCCTGCAGTTGAGTACCTACAGACCATGGCCAAAGGGTTGTCATTCAAGTCCTAACATTCTGAGTTTGGACATCCTGCCAATGAGACCTATAGCTCTTCAAATTCTTGAGGGACACTTCGGCACACCATCATTCATGTGCTGTCGTCGATCGTGATGATCATCATCATTTATAAAGCCGATATTCTCTGGAATCCAAATGATTAGTTCCTTAGTCAATACCGCCATTATCGTTTTGGGCAATTTACTCAGCAATCGAAATCATGTGAAGTCGCCATTGTGACTCAAAAGGTCTGGACTTGAGTCTTTTAGGCTATAACACCATTGAGCACGACAATGGCTTGCATTCAGCCCCTCACTCATTCATGCTGCTATTTAAGCCTGAATTTGGTGCCTTTGACATTTATGTTAAACATTATATCATTCAGGTCATTGCATTTACCTGAATGCTCGACTTTTGGCCACTTATCCACGTGAAGTATTATCCTTTGCTATGGGTGATGATTTACCAATTAATTCCCCCTCTCATACTGCGTTTGTTCTCCCGATCTCCGATTTTTCTGTGCCATTGCGCATTTAAGCGTCTTCAAGGGTTAACAATTCATTCAAACAGCTCATTAGAATTCTCACTTTCTCAAATTGTTTTTGATGTGAGCAACCTCAACGTTTGTAGCAGTCCTCAGACATCTTGACACTTTCTTCCTTTGATTTCTTTAAGCAACCCTTTCAATTAAATGTAGAAGCTTAAAAGATCTGAACTCTTAGTTTTCTTGACTTGCTGGTGGGGGAGGGTACAGTGCATGCTCCTCCAAGGCCATGAAGAGAACTTCTTACTCTCTCTCCCAATTTGTACTTTCTTATAATCTCTAGCCCTCCTGCCCAAAAAAAATTTTCCCCAAATTTTTACCATTATAGATTCAAGAACAACAATTTGAGCTGCTGGATTGACTCTTATAATCTCCTCATATTTTCCTTCTGGCATTTTCTGAACTTCACAATTATAAAACCAAGAGGGGTTAAAGAGTGTTAAAACTGTTCTTTTCATGAAAATATTCTTTTCCTTAACCAAGATTTTGCATTTTCGACATTTACAGTGGCAAAATGGATATTTCACTAAAAGAGGAGAACATTTTCAAATGGAGTATGCTGCCACATAGTGTACAATTTACCTAAGACCTTAAACAATCAAAGTAATGTGCACCAGAATAACAATTTAGGTGTTGGAAGCCTTACAATAGCCTGAAAACTTATATTTAGCTTTAGTTATAAAATTTAAAGCTTCAAAAATGGTCTGATCATATAGATCTATAAATGGTACAAATAATATGCTGCAAACGTACTATTTTTTGGAATTTAAAATCCTTTTTTTTTTTTTTAATGTCTCTTGAGATCAAGATGAATGATTTGAAGCTTCTCCTGCATGGGAATAACCTTTTTGGGTAGGATATTTTTTTTATTTTTTTTTTTGGGAAGAATAACCATTTTACCTTGTAAATGATAAAAATACCTCATGGCATTAATATTCATGGTTGTTTAACATAATTTATTTTAATCAAATGAGTAACAAGTAAAACATAGGATTGTGTATGGATCCAAGCCCCGGGTTGCGCCAAGGGGCACCAGAGCCATGCCCAAGACAAACGGCCTTGACCTAGGGCCAACCCGATTTAGCTTGAACCAACCTCACCTTGCCTAGCCTGATTTCCAAACCCTTGAAGCCCGACAGTATGGTCTCGATTCATTTTGTTATACTACGAATGTAATGCTAGAAATGTAGATTATGCTTAATGGGTACAATTTTTACAAGGTATTGTCTAATATTTATCTTTTGTACATGAAGGTTAAAAATTAAATTGACCAAAATACTTTTAAAAGTTTTGAGGAGCATTTTGATTTATTTAATTATTGTAAATTATCTTTTTATATTTTTATTAAATTGACCTATTTTTTAAAAATATAGGCTCCAAATTTCAAGTGATTTGGATTTATATAAAAAAATTAAAATTAAAATACAAAATGCAATCGTGACCGTTTGATCGGCTCAGATTCAATCTGGACCATTGGACGTTTTACTGTAGCTGTCAAAAGGCTAACCTTATACTCTCATATATATATATATATATATATATATGATCCTATAAAACCCTCCGCCACCCATGTATGTAAGACATCAAAAGATCATTATTAAAATTGACACGGATCTCTAAAAAAATCAAATTCCATACACTGTGATAACTTTTTTAAACATTCTTATCAAATTTAATAGTGATCCTTTGAGATCCTACACACATGGGTATGGGAGGGTCTCATAAGCCTCATGGGTATGAAACTTGACTTTTTTAGAGATTCGTACCAAATTTAATGGTGATCCTTTGGGATCCTACACACATGGTTGTGGGAGAGTCTCATAAGATCATTACTATATATATAGAGAGAGAAAAATCAAGTCCCACATAACTTTTCTAAAGATCTATGCCAAATTTAATGATGATCTTTTGATATCGTACACACATGGGTGTAAGAAGGTTTCATAAAATCGTTACTCTATATCTATATATATATATATATATATATGGAAAAAGCTAACAAACACCAACAACTATAATAAATAGTAATATAAGTGAAATCTCAACTGTCAGATCTTCATCATGTGGTCAGAATACGTATCACTATATGAATTTAATATATTTTTCCAAAAATCATATCATAATGAAATTTGAGCCGTGTACTAAAAAATAGGGCACATGCACAATTAAAAAAATATATATATATATTTCTCAAAATATAAAATGATGGAAATACCTCTGAAAGCTTACAGAGGTAATTTAGTCATTTTTAATTATTGAGAATAAATTTTTTTTATATGTTATATAGTGCGTAATAGTGTTAAGTCTGTACTATCCAAAATTTCATCTTAATCAAATTTATAGAAAAAAATTAAAATTAAAATTAAAATAGCGATATGTATTTTGAACCACAAAAATTTGACGGCTAAAATTCCACATAAATTATTATTCACGATAGCTGCCAAGTGTTCGGA